TCAATGATCAATTATGAGACGACTAGTACGGTGAGTCAATCATCAATAAATGAAGATCATATATAATAATGTAATACTAGAAATCATACTAATAATAAAGAGTTTTTATAATCCAATCTACTATCTATATATTACTATAATAGGTTATGAAAATTGTTAATAATTTCTTGAAGTTAATTTCTCTTTTCATCATTTTGAGTATATTTCTTTTTACATAGTTGGGGAAATTACTAACATAATATTGATGTGGTGAGCCTTCCATGCTGTTGTTACACACCAATTTAATTGGATAATCTAACCTACTCCTCACAGTTTGTTATATGACAATAGGCACGCCTCGATAATAAATCTTATAATTAAGAATAATTTGGATTAATATAAATTATTTATCATAAACTTAAAATATAATTTATATTTAACCATATATTTTTTTATAAAACGTAATTATAATATAATTGATGCATTTAAAATATTTATTGGTCATCAATTTTATTATTAAAATAAATATGTATACTATATATTGAGTAAAGTGTTAGTAATTAATCAAACATACAAGACTAACGAAAAATAAGGGGAAAAATGAGTTAGACGTCCATTATTGTGTTAAAATTTAAAAAAAATTTACATTTATATATATATATATATATATATATATATATTATAAATCTGGAATATTTATTTATTCATAATGATAATTTGATTCGTGTTTATTATTAATTGTAATTATAAAGAAGAATGACTTGGGGTCAACCAAAAAGGCCAAGAGCATCACATCGGCATGTTAAATTCATAATAGAGCTACATCACGTCTTCAGCACGGCGAATGGACTCACTCTGTTTCCACATCTGTTAACATCTACTTAATGAAAAGCAAAAGAAATGATGTTGTACTAATTAATAGTATAACAAAAAATAAATTATAAAGATTAAAGTTTTAATATAAATTCAATTCTATAAGGAAGTTTTTAACACCTCTCCTTCCATAATGTCTGATGGATTAGACAAAACTTACTTTTGATACACAATAAATGAAAAAACTCTTTACCCAAAAATAAAAATAAAACAAAAATTAATTTTAATTTTCAAATTTTCAAATTTTCAAATAAAATTAATTAATAATATATAAAATAGTTTATCAAGTATTTGATACTCACTTAAATCAAATTTAATATATTATTACAACCCTTACGTCATTGCACTAGTTAATAATTATCTCTCAGTATTCCACTTAAGAAAATTAATATAATATAATTAATATTTGAATTAAATATTTAATATAATATAATTTATATTATTTTATATAGCATTATGATATTACGAGGTTACAGGGGCTTTTACACGTTATTAAGAAGAAACTTTACTATATTACATCTTAGTTAAGTTATTGATAAAAAGTAATTCAGTTAAATATAAATTTATATTTAAATTATTTTTATTATTTATTAATTAAATTATGTTAATTTTGAAGATATTAAATAATTTATATATGAAATATTAAAATGTAATTAATTTTATTTTAAGTATTTTTATAATTTATAGATTATTTTAATTATGAACAATGTAACATTAATATAATATTTTTTATGTATATTATAATATTTTTTATTACTTTAATTGTTATAGAAATTATCTTAACGATCATAAAAATACTTTTTGTAGCGGTCTAACTAATAACTAATAACTGACATAGAAATTTTTTATGTCAGTTATAAAAAAATTGACATCTCTAAGATAAAATGAATAAAATTTAATGAATTGATAAGATGACAAAATAGATCAATGATTTTGATTTGACTTTTTATGTATAATTTTTTTATATGTATTTTCTTTTAAAATATATTTTTAATTATAAAAATAATGTTTAAGTTTTATTTTTAAATTAATATTTTTATTAGATAAATTGAACAAATTACTATATTTTTATATTAAAATATTTAATTATAATTAATCATTTAAACTTAATTACTTAATATTTATAATTTAAATTATAATATTATAGTATATTTATATATTTCAACAATATAAAAAAAATATTTTTAATTATGATTTTTTTATTTTAATTTTAATATATAAGTTTTTGTAAAGTGGGTCAACAGTGGCGGACTAGCCTACCAACCCATCTTTAACCGACCAAAAACGGGGTGAGATGTGTTAACCTGTTATATATCCTAATTCACTCCCTTAACTAGGCGGTTGGTAGGCCGATGATCAATCTGACAATAATTTTTTATATATTTTTAAAATATATTTATAATTATATAAATAAATTTTGAATTTTTATTTATTAATTAATATTTTTACTAGATAAATTGAAAATTATTATATTTATGTGTTAAAATATCTAATTATAATCAATCATTTAAATTTAATTACTTAATTTTTATAATTTAAATTTTAATATTATAATATATTTACATATTTCAATAATATAACATAAAAATAATATAATATTTTAATTATAATATTTTTTATTTTAATTATAATATGTAAATATTTTTTAAAATAGACAAACAGGTGAATCTACTTAGTCCTGTCTTTGGAGATGAATCTACTTCGTCTTGTCTTTGGAAGTTAGGTAGGTTGATCAAAATTGACTAATAGAGAAAAATCAATAACTCGCATTGTCGAATCTAACTCATATTGTTATCCTATTACGAAGTAAGGAGGATATTGTGAATGATTAATATTATAGTAAAAGAAAAGGTGAGTTACTAATTAATTACAAAAATATATAACTTTTTAAATGTAATTAGTAAGGAATTAGTAATGATGAATGGGTAATTAAAAAAAAACAAAGTTGTCAAAATATTAATAAAGGTTAGTTAAGTAAAACCAATAACGTGTAATTTATTGTAATCATCATTATTTTTTTGAATATATGCAATCAAAATTTGTGTTTTGTATTAGGTCTCAATCATTTTGCAGAATTTCTGAAATATTCTTCCAACTTCACTTTTAGACTTCATCAAACATAATCAAGTCATTCGAGTACAATAATCAATAAACGTTATAAACCACGTTGAGTCACCCAACGTTGTAACCTTAAATGGACCCCACAAATCAGAGTGAAATGATCATAAAAGGAAGAAAACTTTTATTTGAAATTAAAGGAAAATATGTTATGTGACTCTTTGCAAGCTTACAAACATCACAATAAAAAGTTGAAGTATCTACTTGGTCAAATACATTTGAAAATAATTTCTTTATGTAACCAAAAGATGCATGTCCTAGACATTTATGTCATAACCAAATATTCTCACCTTTTCTTACTTCTTGAGACCCTTTTGTTGCTAGCACTTGACCAAGTCTCTTTGAATCTTTTGTAATACAACCTTCCTCGCCTAATACCACAATCAATCGTCTTCCTTATTTGAATGTCCTTAAAAACACAAGAGTCAAGCCCAAAAATTACAACACATAAAAGAGCTTTGGTTATTTGCGAGACTGACAATAGGTTATATTTAAGAAAATGAACAACAAGGACAATATCAAGGTTCAAATTATTTGAAATAGAGACAGTTCTTTCTCCAATGATAGTAGATTTACTATTATTGGCTGTGGAAATACTTTTTTGTGAGGAAGATTTAAGATTTTTAATCTGTCTAACATCAAAAGTGACATGATTAGAACATGCAGAGTCAATTATTCATGATTATTCAGAACGATAGATGTGCTTATTAAAGATTTACCATTGGAATCATCACTACCTGCGATTGTAGCAAACATCATGTCTTTATCGTCCTCTTTGTCAATGTTAATTACAACAGCAACAATTAGATTTTTTTTTTTTAATTCTTCTTCGATGCTCGACTGTGATCCCACCACTCGGGGTATCCTATAATTTCATAGCATCGTTCCTTGGTGTGCCCATCCTTATTACACTGAGTACAGTTGTAGTTACCTTTTTCAAAATCTTTTGATTGCTTCGATTTACTATAATGATTTGTTGGCTGCTTCTTTGTCATCATAGCTGTTGAATCAGAAATCATATCTTCTGTTTTCAACGTTGTTCTCCAGATTGTCTCTCTCCGGATCAATGCATAGCATTATTCTAAATCAGATGTCACTTCCTTGCGCAATATTTCTCCACGAACTTGCTCAAAATCATCATCTAATCCAACAAGGAATATATGCACCCTTAATCTTTCAATGGACTTCTGATATGACTTCACATCATCAAGGTCTTTCATAACTACTTTGTCACGATGGTCCAATTCCCTAAAAATTTTATTCAACTCCTCATAATATTCAGTTAAGGTTCTATTATTTTATTTTGTAGGGAATGCCCTTTGATTCAGGACAAACACCTGTAGCTCATCACTTCCATCATAAAACGTTTTTGACAAAACATTTCAAATATCGAGAGCAGTGGGTTAGCGAATATACCTTTTCATGATTTTTAGCTTCATGAAAATCAGTAGTCATCTTTTCACTTTTTGGTTTTCACTATACTATTTTTCATATCCCTCATCTTTCTTTGTTAGAGGCTTCACCTTTCCACAGATGTAGGATAATTTTTTTCTCTCTACAATATGTATCTCCATTAGTTGTGACCATACGTCATAATTGGATTCATTTAGGATGATGTCTATGTTAAAGACACCCTTAGATTGAACAACCACTAAAATTAGTTTTTCTGTCATTTCTCCGGTTAAGATCTCCAAGAATTTAAAAAAAATAATAATTATAAGCTCTAATACTAAATTGAAAAACATAGAATTCATTCTATAATTTTATTCATATTATTTTTGTATACATATACTATAATCTTATAGTATTTTCTTCCAACAAATCAAGATTAAATAAAGAAAATTCTGATTATACAATATTTTGTACCGCTATCCAAACTTATAATTTAACTAATGAAATATCTTTATCCAACAAGTAAAACCAATAACAGTAATTTATTGTAATCATCATTATTTTCACATGTATTAAATCACATTCGAAAACTTGAGCAAACAAGACAGGTATTCTAGACATGTATACAAGGTAACATGTTATGACGTTGTACAATTTGAAAACTTGAGCAAAATATGGTCCTCAAGAAAGTAGTAACAATTTGTGCAGACCAATTCTATATAATAAAACCACGTTCGCCTCCAGTAAGGATTAATATAGAGAGTTGCTGCAATTACCAACAATACTGATGTGTACGACACACCAAAACATATCCAGAAGGCAAACATATCAACGAAACTGCAGTTTTCCCCATCAGTGTAAGAGGTGTTTGATGGAATAACATGTGGTTGTCTATAATCAGGATTGCAACTTTTCGGCAGTGGCGGTCCACAAAGAAAAGGATTACCCTCGTAACTGCTTTCATCAAAGGTAATAAACTGGCCTTTTCTTTCGGGTGTTTCACCAGATAAGTTATTATGTGCTACACTAAATACAGCAAGAAAGGATAACTCACTTAGTTGAGGGGGAATTTGACCAGTCAACTTGTTAGAAGAAAGATCCAAACTCTCTATTTGTACCAAATTGGAAAATGAAGCTGGAATTTGTCCGTTAAAATCATTGTGGGACAAGTTTAATGTTCGAATTCTTGTCAACTTTCCAAATTCGGATGGAATATTCCCATTTAATTTATTATTGGACAAGTCAATTCCAGACATATAAGCAAGGATATACCCTTTATAAGTGTAGGATCTTTTCTTTGTAGTGAAGTTCACTTTTGCTTTTGCGATTGGAAATGACTTTCCCCATCTGCTATAACCAGTAGCAGGAAGGACACCATCAATACCTAATGCCGCACTGTTGTCGATCTCGAAAGGCATTTTACCCAAGCAATTGGGTACCAAACCAGAAAAATTATTACAAGAAAGGTCTAGTATAAACAATTCTTTCAGCTGGCATAACTGTTGTGGTATATGTCCTGAAAAGTGATTACCTTTCAATATGAGAATGTGCAATGGTGATTTTTCAAGTTCTAAGATCGTATCTTGAATGTTACTGGTTATTTTATTGTAACTAAGGTCAAGAATCACCAATGAAGAACTATTGAAAGTCGATTTGGACAAGCCAGTAAACATATTATTGCTCATGTGGATGAATCTCAGGAAAGGATTGGCAAAAGATGGTAACAAACCAGAGAAATTATTTTGTGAGATATCTAGATATGCTAGATCTTCCAGTTCCACAAATCTTGTTGAAATAGGTCCTCCAAGATCATTGTTGGACAGTGAAAGCACTACCAATTTCGACAAATTTCCAATCACACTTGGTAGCTTTCCCACTAAATGATTATTGCTTATATCCAAGGCCATCAATGATGCAGCAGAAAACCTATATATACTTCCAGAAAGACTATTGCCGTCAAAATACACTTCTTCCAAGTTCTTCAAACTCGACAAAGTAGGAAACACGGGTCCATGTAGCTTATTGTTGGAAAGTTTCAAATACTTGAGCTGAGACCTGTAACCAGATATGTTCTTTGGTATTTCTCCTGACAAATTATTATATGAGAGATCCAATGTATCCAATAAGTGCATTTGGCTGAATTCATGAGGAATTGAACCTTGGATGTCATTTATAGACATGTTCAGAAATTGCAAATTTGGAAAGATTGAACTGATATTGCTGCTAAATAGCTGACCAGTTATAATATTGTCAGACACATCAATCTTCCTTATCTTGGGAAGAGGCCGTGATGGTAGCTGAAAATTACCAGTAAAAGAGCAATTTCTCAAAAGAATTTCTGTCAATTGTGTGTTATTCTCCAACAACCAGTGAGGAAACTCTCCTTCCAACAAGCAACTGGTAAAATCCAGACTAGTTATGTTATATTGATATAGAAGAAAATTAGGGAAAGGAATGGAATTAGCCTCTGTTGTTGAAGACAAACTAAGTACTTGTAATTGAAATTTTGGAATCCAAGTTTGCAAGAAAGGCTGTGAGTCCATAATGACTTTGTTGCCTTCACCATAAATGAACTTGAGATTTGAATGATTGGCAAATGGTGCGAAAGAAATAGGGACCTCAAATTGGTTTTCTTTAAAACCAAAATATACAAGTGAAGTAAGACTTGCAAGGTTAGAAGCAAAATTTCCAATGAAGTTATTTTGAGATAATTCCAATATTCGAAGAGACGTCATGTTTACAAAAGTTGCGGGAAGTGGCCCCTCAAATTTATTAAAGATTAGATTTAACTCTTCTAGCTTTTTCAGCTTAAACCAATCTGAAATTTGAAATTTTGACAACAAAATTCATCATTTAGGAAACACAATGAAAAGGATATCAATATTTTAACAAACTAAAAGAAAAATTGTACTGAGTGAAGTAAAAGGTAATTTGATAAGAAAATTACCAGCCGCAGGAAGTGTGCCATTTATATCACATTCGGAAAGAGACAAAACTTTCAAAGAAGTCAAATCTCCAATACTTTCAAAAAATTCACTTTCCAGGTTAGAACTTCCATCCAAGACCAAGCGTTCTAGGTTTTTCAGATCACGAAAATCTGCAAAAAAGAGAAAATTATATGAAGCTTACAAAAAGGAAATTACCTAGAAAAATTATGCAGTATTAAATACTATACCTCGAGCAATAATTGCTCCCTTAAATGGAATCTGAGTCAGAGAAAGCACCTTAAGAGATGGTAAAGTTGGTAAGGACTTGCTTAGCTTTTTTCCATCTATCGCATTCCCATCTAAAGCAAGGACATCCAATGTGCTTATACTTTGTAAGCCTGAAAGATGGATGACGTAACTAAAAATATGTAAATTTATATGAACTTTGACTAAATAACTACACTTAGCAGATTCGAAATATCTTGAACTTATCCTAAACAATTAATTAAATGTTTTAAACTTAATGTTCTTAAATACCTCGATGGACCACAAAATTGTTGATTTGATTAAACCTTAGATCGAGAATCTTCAAACTGGTCAAAATCGATAATCCTGCCAGAGACACCAAAGTAGAAGAGTAGCGTTATATCTGTCAATAAATTTTCCTATAAACCTTCTCACTACATTTTATATAGTATTTGATATATTGTATAAGTTTTAATTTTTGTCCTCCAAAAGAGTTCGAGTTTTGATTTTTTTTTTTTTTTTTTTGGAAAAAACTAGACTGGAAAATAACGATCAAACAGATCATAAATAATGTATTATCACTTTGATAGAATGGTTTGATATGAAAAGAGAATAATTAAAAAGTATCTAAAAGTACTCTTACTTTAGTGCGGATTTAGTTAGAAATGTTTTTAGAGAAATAACTATTTTTTTTTTAAATAATAAATTATACATGACTGTAAGTAAGACATTGTATACATGATACAATATATGTATGAAAACAATACATACCACTTATATCTAGTGCTCCTTCTAATTGATTATTACTTAAATCAAGAGATTTGAGAGAAGGTAACCCGGTTAGAGAAGAAAAAACTTTGTTAAGGAATCGGTTTCCATTCAACCGAAGGACTTGTAAACCAGTTGGCCATGTAAATCCATCATTTCCTGATGCAAAATGATGAAGGCATCATATTATCAGTACCAATCAAGAATAAAACAATGAGTAAATTCTCATATAAATGCGGATTAGTTCTTAAAAAAATATTCATTGCCATATTTTCTTCATTCTCCATTACCATGTTGTACAGCAAAAAAGGATTAAATAAAACAAGAAATATACAAATTTAGAGACTACAAATTAAGAAACTAAAACAAGAATTAGTCCTATATAACAAAATTGTTAGATAATGACAACAAACCTAGGCGCCACAGGATACTCTCATTCAACTGGTTTCTAGCTAAGTCAAGGATCTCCAAAGAACTCAGTTTTGATATACCTAACAATATATATATATGTATTACAGTTAGATATATTTTTCCAACCAAAACCCAAGGATGAAGATTTTTAATTTGAAAAGTATGGCGTACTGAAAATTGATTTCCGAGTCAACTGGATATCTTCTAAAGACAGAGACTTGAGGGATGAAAGCCCACTAAGAGCATATGCAATGTCACTGTCATTGAAGTTGTTTTCTGACAAGTCAAGGACCTCAAGATTCATCAGTGTTGAAGATAAACCTGCAAGGTATAGTGTGTTATATTTCGGTATATCATTTATTTACCTGAAAAGGAAAATTATGCTACCTTGAATATGAAGATCTGAGTCCAATTTAGTTCTAGCCAAATACAGCTCCTTCAAAGATGAGAATCGCCCAATAAATGGCAGGATTTCATTAGTCAATGGGTTGTAACTAATGTCAAGGACCTCCAGATTACGCACCTTTGATGACAGAGTTTCAAAATCTTATATACGTATATACAAATGTATTAGTACAAGGTTGTGGAAGAAGTGATGTGAACATAACCTATGATAAGGGCTAGAGCAAGGGGAACAAAGGAAGCTCTTCAACAAGTATTGTTGGTTGACCAAATTGTGTTTTGGATTAATCAATTAATGGGCTTTAGTTTGATTTTGTTTTAAGTTGTAATAAGGGCCCAATTGAAAATTTAGTCATCAGCCTTTGGGAGACCAAGGGGTGCATAGCTGATTGACTTTTGGTTGCCACAGTTTCGATACAATCAGTCATTAAGTAGTTTCAATTCCTAGGTTAATGGATCATTATTAGCCTTTATTTGTTTCCATTAAATAGTTTTCAATTCCTAGATTAATGGGTTATTATTAATATTTATTTTCTTTTATTGAGTCTTTTGTAATTCTGATGGCAACGCTTCTATATCAGCTGAACCATTCTTATCAAGAAATAACAAGTGAAATTTTATTCAGAAATATTAGAGTTTATCTCTTTTATCTTAGTGAGAGTGATTCTCCTAAATTCTTGAGTGATTCAAGAACCCTTGGCTGTATCAAAGGATTGTCACATCTTTTGTGTGTTGCCTCCCTTGGAAAGAGTGATTCTTTCCTTCCACCTTCTTTCTAATTCCTAAATTTCTTACAAGGTTTTAACCCTAAAGATCCTAAATTACCCCTTGTGATTCATATGTATTCAGAGCAAGGTTCAAAAGATGGCAGGTGCAGGTGGTGGTACCCCTCCTCTAGGGGATGACAATAGATTATTGATTGATGCCATTACAGCCCAAATGCAAAGAATGTTGACAGAGCATACCGAGGAGTTGTATGAAAGATTGAACCGATTGGAGAATAGAAATTCTGAAGACGAAGAAGAAAGGAGAAATAGGAGAATGAATGATGGAGTAACAAGACCAAGTAGGCTTGAAGGAGTCAAGCTTAACATTCCTCCGTTCAAAGGAAAAAGTGATCCTGAAGCATACTTAGAGTGGGAGATGAAAATAGAGCATGTTTTCTCATGCAACAATTATGAGGAGACCCAAAAGGTGAGACTTGCAATAACTGAATTTTCTGACTATGCTCTTGTTTGGTGGAACAAGCTACAAAAGGAGAGAGATAGAAATGAAGAGTCAATGGTTAATACATGGACTGAGATGAAAAGGATCATGAGGAAGCGGTATGTGCCGGCTAGTTATGCAAGAGACTTGAAATTTAAACTCCAAAAACTTACTCAAGGCAACAAAGGGGTTGAGGAGTATTTCAAAGAAATGGACATGCTCATGATTCAAGCAAAGATTGAAGAAGATGAAGAGGTAACTATGACCCGATTTATTGGTGGTTTGAATATTGATATATGTGATATTGTTGAGTTGCAGGAGTTTGTTGATATGGAGGATTTACTTCATAAAGCAATTCGAATGGAACAACAACTCAAAAGAAAAGAAATGACTAAGAAGAGTTCTACCAACTTTGGATTGTCAAGTTGGAAGGACAAAGGCAAGAAAGATGGGACTGTTACTTCTAGTAGTTCCACACCTATTCCTACAAAGATTCATTCAAAATATGAAGAACAACCCTCTAAAAAAAGTAGAGATGTGAAATGTTTCAAGTGTCAAGGCCTAGGACACTATGCTTATGAGTGCCCTAACACAAAGACCATGATTCTTAAAGAGGGAGAATATATAAGTGAATCTGAGGTTGAAGAGGGAGAAAAGAGTGAAGACACTGAGGAGGAAGAGATTCCAAAGGGAGATTTATTGATGATTAGGCGATTACTTGATAGTCAATTGAAACCTATGGAAGAAAGCCAAAGAAAAAATATTTTTCACACTAGATGTTTAATCAATGACAAGGTGTGCATGATGATCATAGATGGAGGTAGTTGCACCAATGTGGCTAGTGCTAGATTAGTATCAAAGCTAAATTTAGCTACCAAACCACATCCTAGGCCATATAAACTTCAATGGCTTAGTAAGGATGGAGATGTGCAAGTGAGACAACAAGTTGAAGTGGACATTTCCATTGGAAAATACAATGATAAGGTGCTTTGTGATATTATTCCTATGGAAGTCAGTCATTTACTTTTGGGGAGACCATGACAATTTGATAAAAGAGTCAATCATAACGGGTTCACCAACAAGATTTCTTTCATACACCAAGACAAGAAGATTGTGTTCAAACCTTTGAGTCCACAAGAAGTATGTGAGGATAAAAAGAAAATGAAAGAAAAACTTCTTCAAGAAAGAGAGAGAAAGAAAGCGTTAGTGAAACACTTGAGAGGAAAAAGAGTGATCAAAAGAAGAGTGAAACACTTGAAGTGAAACAGAGTTATTTAACCATAAAAAGTGAGTATAATGTTTGTTCTACATTTAATTTGTCAGACTTATCTCTTTTTAATGTAGATGACGAATCCGATTTGAGGACAAATCCTTTTCAAGAGGGAGAGAATGATGTGAACATAACCTATGATAAGGGCTAGAGCAAGGGGAACAAAGGAAGCTCTTCAACAAGTATTGTTGGTTGACCAAATTGTGTTTTGGATTAATCAATTAATGGGCTTTAGTTTGATTTTGTTTTAAGTTGTAATAAGGGCCCAATTGAAAATTTAGTCATCGACCTTTGGGAGACCAAGGGGTGCATAGCCGATTGACTTTTGGTTGCCACGCTTCGGATACAATCGGTCATTAAGTAGTTTCAATTCCTAGGTTAATGGATCATTATTAGCCTTTATTTGTTTCCATTAAATAGTTTTCAATTCCTAGATTAATGGGTTATTATTAATATTTATTTTCTTTTATTGAGTCTTTTGTAATTCGATGGCAACGCTTCTATATCAACTTGAACCATTCTTATCAAGAAATAACAAGTGAAATTTTATTCAGAAATATTAGAGTTTATCTCTTTTATCTTAGTGAGAGTGATTCTCCTAAATTCTTGAGTGATTCAAGAACCCTTGGCTGTATCAAAGGACTGTCACATCCTTTGTGTGTTGACTCCCTTGGAAAGAGTGATTCTTTCCTTCCACCTTCTTTCTAATTCCTAAATTTCTTACAAGGTTTTAACCCTAAAGATCCTAAATTACCCCTTGTGATTCATATCAAGAAGCCATGAAATTGAGGAAAAATAATACCATAAATTAGAAAGGCTCAATCATCATCACCATCAAAATATGATTTTTTTTTCTCAAAATAAAAAGATGAACATATATATCTAGCCTCACCGTGCAAGGAAGATGCATCGAGGCTGTTAAATGCTAAATATAGAGACTTTAGAGATGAAAGCCCATCCAAGCAAGAGAGAATTTTGGCTCCATTATTCAAGTCATTATAACTCAAGTCAAGTACTTCCAGATTTTTCAAGCCTGAAAACGAATATATATTATGAAATGGAGATGATGAACAAGCAATGATGAAAACATAGAATGTATACGATAATATAATAACCTTCATCGTTGTCTGCACAACCAACTATCATACTGTTTGACAAGTTGAGACTCTTCAAATCTTTAAAAACAGCAAAATCCGAGTTTAAGTACCCACTAAAATATGGATCCATCTCATATGCAGTAGAACCACAGTACCAGCAAGAAAGGTCGAGTTTGGCTACTCTCCCTGTGGTGGCGTTGCACTCAACCCTTTTCCATTGACAACAATCGGTTCCTTCCCACTCCCAAGAGAAAGGGAAGCGGAGACCGGAGTTTAGACTCAAAAGAGCTTCTCTCTCTTCCTTCCCACAACCTTCACAGCACATCACTTGCAATAAAGCAAAAATAAATAAAAACATGCCTATGCTCTTCATTTCTATCTTCACACTTTGTAGTAAGAAATTTGCCCATTTAAATAGGAATGCTCAATCAACTTGTTTGTGAGTCTAGACGTATCAGCCAAGATTTAGTCAAACTTGGTGGCTGACAGAGTTTTCATAACTTATGGATAATATCTCTTTGAGTTAGTGTCAACTTTTTGAATAAAAAAATAATGTAACAATAGAACTTTTTGAAACAGTTTAAAATTTAAATATCTTGTCTGTTCTTACCCTATTGCCACCGTGCTCAAGTATTGCAGGAGGAGAACAATCCAAGGAATTTAAAATTTCATTTCAATGGAGGTGTTTTTGGTTCTTATTGTGGTATGGAAAATCAATTTCTCCAACATTCTTACCCAAACCAGGAGAATATTTACGTAGGAGATTTGAAAAATTCGTCTACAGATATTATTAATGATAACAATTACCTGTTGATGGTCTTCACCTTACATATCAATATCAAATAGGGAACATGTGATAAAAAAACTTAATAAGAATATTCAAAAATAGTTTTAAGAACAAAAAATCTGCAAATATTTCAGAAACAACTTAACAATTTTTTTTTAAATAGGAATGGAATATAAACTAAAATGAGTCGAAAGTTAAATTTTGTTAAAAAAAAATATGAAAGAAATTTCAAAAGGTAAAAATATAGTTTGAAACTTAACTGAATTTGATCATTTGTGAAGCCGAGCAGGGAAGAAATAAATGAAGATGACTTAACTCATGTCAAACTGAAGACTACAACTTCTGCACCCACCAAGCAAATCCACAGCCGAATCATCTCAGATTTGTTGCTAGACTTCATTTTCTTTATTAATCTATTCATAAGTATGAAATGTTAGATAATAATCCGATATAACTAATTTTTCAATTTTTATTATAAATACACTATATATATATATATATATATATATTATAGTGTAGTTAAACACATTAGTAATAATATTTCTATTACTTTTATTTTTTAGTAATACCTCGATACTATTTTCTTTTTCGATACTCTGTTCAAGATCTTTTTCTATTAATATCAAGAGTTTCAATATTTGAGGAAATTAATAGTAATGTCAGGAGATGGGTTGCAAGACAACATGTTAATATTAGATAGGAAAAATTTTAATGGTTATGATCGTTGGTACTTGAACATGAAAGTTATCTTTGGATCCCAAGAAGTCTTAGATATTGTTCTGACGGGGACAAGCTATCGGAGAATTCTACTGAGGTACAACGTGTTATGTTTCGTGATTCAAAGAAAAGTGATTATAAAGCCTTATTTTACATTAATCAGTGTGTTGATGAAAACAATTTTGAAAAGATTTTATTGACAAACACGATGAAAGAAGTCTCGGATATATTAACACAAAGTTATGTAGGAGTAGAAATGTTGAAGATGATGAAACTTTAAATCTTACATCGTCAATATGAATTATTGTAGATGAGAATTCAATAAATCATTCAAGAATATTTTACAAGATTAGTCTCTCTCACAAACTTGATAAAATCGTGTGGTGAAAGATTAAAAGAACGAGTGAAGGTTGAGAAAGTTTTAAGGACTCTTAAACAAAATTTGATACAATTTCTATTGTAATCGAATAATTCAAGAACAGGGGTCAATGGAAGCTTATGAATGTGTTTACACAAAAGAGGATATATAAATTTAATTCATAACAAACCTTATTGGCTAAGCAAATTTAGAAGAATGATGATAATTGAGGAAAATTCAACAAGAGAAGTAGTGGAAGAGGTTTCAGAAGAAAAAATAATTGAGGTTGAGGTTCACAAGACAACATGAGAGAGTTCTTCACAATTGAGAAGTGACAGAGACAAAAATTCACAATGGAAAGGTGGTCGATCTAGTTCTGATAGTGATAAAAGCAATATACAATGTTATAGTTGTAGTAAATATGGTAATTATGCAGTTGATTATTGGAGCAAAAGTTCAGATAATAATGAAAAAGAAGCAAATGTGGCAAAAAATAAAAACACCTAGGATGAAGTTTTGTTAATGGTGACCACTACAAATTAGAGAAAACAAATGAAGAATCTTGATTTTTGAATTCAAGTTGTTCAAATCATATATCATTTTAGAATAGTTGGTTTGTCGAATTGGATGGAAAGATTAAAATGAAATTGAAGTTTGTAGATAATTCTACAATAAATTGTGAAGGAAAAGAAAATATTTTGATTAGAAGAAGAGATGAGAAATCTACAGTAATCTCATATCTCCTATATGTTTCAGCTATAAAGCACAACCTATTAAGTACTGGTCAGTTTCTGCAAAAATGACATTTAATTGGTTGAAGATTGAAGGGGGAAAGATTGAGAATTCTCGATAAAAATGGGTCACCGATTCTGAAGGCTCCTCTGAGTAAAAATAGGACCTTTAGAGTTGATATTTCTAGCTATAATTTCCAATGTCAACTATGATGGCATCTGAAATATGATCATCTAAATTTCGATAGTCTATGTCAACTGGTAAAGAAAGAGATGGTGATATGATTGTCTCGAATTCAGAAGTGTAAAGTTACCTATGAAAGTTACATGATAGGAAAACAAGGAAGAAATCCCTCCATGGTCTGTATCAAAATTAGGAGTAAAGGAGTGTTAGAAGTCATCTACGTGTGTGGACATTTCGACGTATCCTCACTTGGTAGAAACAAGTATTTTGTTATGTTCATCAATGATTTCAATAAGGAAATATAAAATCAAAAGTTTTTAACTATTTTGTCGAGTTCAAAAAGTTGGTCGAGAAACAGAGTGACAAAGTTATTAAAATTTTAAGATCAAATGGTGGTGGTGAGTATAATAATGGTGAATTTGCATCATTATGTAAGTAAAAATGTATTCTGCATGAAATTCTACCCCCATATACACCACAACACAATGGTGTTGATGAAAGAAAAGCTTGAATGATTCTTAACATGATCAAAAGTATGTTGAAAAGAAAAAACTTGCTACATTCTTTTGTGGTGGAGTGGTTGCTACTATATCTTATAATTTAAATCGATTTCCAACTAAGATAGTTAAGGAGAAGACACTAGAAGAAGTTTGGTCGAAGAAAAAGTCCAATGTAAAGCATCTGAAGGTGTTTGACTCAATTTCTTGGAGATATGTTCCCGATGAAAGAAGAAGAAAGTTCGATGATAAAAGTGAGAAACTAATTTTGATAGGGTATCATGTAACATAAGCTTACTACTACAAAATATACTTTCTACGTCGTCATTTAACGTCGGTTATAGCTGAGACAACGTAGAAAGTACTTTCCACGTCGGTTCCCAGATGAACTGACGTTGAAAGTTGAATATTAAACACTTTCTACGTCGGTTCCCATATAAACCGACGTTGAAAGTCTTTTTTTTTTATTTTTTCTTTACTTATTGACACTTTCCACGTCGGTTCCCATATGAACCGACGTGGAAAGTCTTTTTTTTTTCACCCAAAAACTCACTTAAATTTGAAAATTATGATGGACGAGATTCGAACCCAAGATCTTTAGAGTTAAAAACTAATACTCCAACCACTAAGCTACTAGAATTTTTTGATAATAACTTACAAATAAATTATATTTATATACAAATAAATATATATCCATGTAAATATATATTTATTTGTATATATTTTCTGAAAAGTATTTTTATTTTTATTTTCAGCCAAAAATTCTCTTAAGTTAATGAATTGTCACTGATAGCATTTGAACCCAAGTATTTTAGGGTTGAAAGTTAATATCCCAACCACTAAACTACTATAATTTTTTTATAATAACTTACAAATAAATTATATTGGTATTTTTCAATCGAGGGTGAAAGTGTGATTGACTTTTGCTTGAGTGAAAATATGTTAAAGCTCACTGAAATTCACTTGCTCAAGTCTCGCTTGAGCGAAAATTGGTATTTTTCGCTTGAGAGCAAATAACACGTTTCCCAAATTTATTTTATATCATTATATAAATAAAATTGTAAAGATTATATTATGTCATTAAATTACAAACTCATATAAAGATACCTGCTCACAAATTTAGCATCAAATTTTGAAAACTCACTCGACACACACTTTCACTTTCGAGTGTGCCCTCACATCCAACATATAAATATATAACTATATAAATATATCAAAATATATAAATATATTTGTATTTATATATTTATATATTTACACTGGATATATATTTATTTGTATATAAATATAATTTATTTGTAAGTTATTATCGGAAAATTCTAGTAATTTAGTGCTAAAAAATATAATATAAAGAGATGGAGGACCTAATAAAAATATAATTCTTCTAGATAAATAAAAGGGGTAAAGGGGTTGTAAATAAATAAAAATTATTAATTTAAAAAATCATACTTTCAACGTCATTTCTTATGATGAAGAAATCGACCAACAAGATCGATAAAAGTATAAGTATGACTCGATGACTATATGATATATAAGGATAAAATATATAAGGATAAAAATTATCTAGTTTATCTAATTCTATATGCCGAGATCGAATATAAACCAAGTATGCTTTGAAGATGCAATTAAAGATCCTAAGTGGATAAAAGTAATGAAAGAAAAGTTGTTTGCAATCGAAAAGAATCATACATAAAAATTAACTAATTTGTTGAAGAATAAAAAACCAATAGATCAAAGTTACATCAATCAAGAAATAAAAAAAATGAAGGATGAAACTAGAATAACCAAGTTGGAGCTCTAACAAAGGCTCTATATACTCAAAGATTACTAAATGAAAAAATAATTAATAATTCAACCATTAATAATGATTGATTTTATAAAGATGTTAGGTCTAACTAATTTTTCAGTTTTTTATTATAAATATAATATGTACAAGCGTATTAATAATAATACTTCAGTTACTCTTATTTTTTATAACACCTTTTTTTTATACTATTTTTCTTTCTCTGGATATTCTGTTCAAGATCTTTTGCCGTTACCATAAAAACCTATTTTTAAAAGAATATTTATCCTCGTGTGCTTGCTATAATTTTTAATAATCTTTGAATCAAAATAAAAAACAACAATAAATACATTAAAATATGGACATTTATATATAAATTGTTAAGAGAGTAAAGAAGTACAAAACAGTAGCATAAAATATATTATCATAAATAAATAATGTATATTATAAAGAACAATATAATTATTATCATTTAATAATACTTGATTAACTTTTTTTAAGAAAATGTATAAGTATAATCTAAAATGGAAAGAGAGATAATTGATATTATATTTCTTGTGAAACAATTTTCAAGATTTTTTTCTACATTCTTTGTTCTTTAAAAATATCTTTTGAGTTAAATCAACGGAGGAAAATTATTTAACCTAGTGACATTGTAAGCTCTTTAAGAGGAGGTTTTTTTGTACTTTCACACTTTGAAATTAGTTGTTTTCCATTTAACACTTAGAGGGTTGATGCGTTAGAGCTGGACGATGTAGCACTGATTGGACAATTTGTCCACATAATGTAATCTTCTTCTTCTTTTAATAAAATTGTTTGGTAAGCATCACCATCAGAAAATATATTCTAATTAGGTTAGAAGACTCGTTATCGTGCGCTGACCAAAAGAAAATAAAAAGTACATCGAAACGGGAAGATATGATCTACGTATGTTTTGTCTTCTTTTCTTGATGTTTATAAAAGATCAACCTCAATTAATAAATCTTTGGAATGAAGAAATAACGAAGATACTTAGTGCGTTTAAATGATAGAAATATTCTCATGTCAATAGTATAAAAAAAATATAAAAATAATCTATATATACTAAAGAAAATTATAATAATTTAAAATATATAAACTGAAATATATTTATTTTTTATGAAATAAAATATGTATAATTTATTTATGTGTATCTAATTAGATTATTAAGAAAATAAAATATTTTATAATTATATCTAATCATAATCAATTAATCAAGTTAAAATAACGAGTATTCTGTGAAACATATAACATATAAATTTTACGAATTAACCTTTATTCTCACACAACCAACTATGTGATGACAAATCGTGGTTTTTTAAATTTTGGAAGACAGAAAAATCAGACTAATTAATATATCATTAGTCTAAATATAACAGGCGAGTTCGGTCTCTATGGGAAGAAATTGTACTTCACTCTTTCTCACTCACAACAATATGTGTTTCTTCTAGTGATAAAACTATAAACAAATTATGATGAAGTATTTAAAATTTTATTATTTTATTCCTTTTATTTTATATATTTAAATTCGTTGATTGCGATTTTGTGAATAAATATATTAAATCCTTTAAATAGGAAACCATGCATATTAGTCATTCCTTCACGTCCTTAACAGAGTCTACAATATTTATTTATAAATACGACGCGGTTTTATGCTTTACACCACCGTAGTGGAGACGTTGTGGAAATTGCATCCCGTGTTTCATTATTTAGTTGTTGACGAAGACTTGACTTGAAGTTATGATTTTTTTTTTATTTTTTTTTTTGACAAATTTACTTTCCACCCATTATGACTTTAGTTTCTTCTTATGATGACTTTAGTTTCATTATTAACAAAGGGTACCTTCAACAAATCTCTAATTATTACGTGATAATCGATCTAGAAAATATCATTCAACGTTGATTCGTTATTGAATGATACTTTTTTACTTTAGTTATTCATCACAAATTGTGACAACTTAAATTTTGTAACAGTTAAAAATATATAGATTTTGTGAAAAATATTGTGATGGTCATGTGTTATCTTAAAAATATTTCCTCACAAAATTTGTCACAAATATATTTTATTTATCTTAGTAACAAAATTTTGTAATTAAAATTGTGTATCACTAATTATTTCATTATAGATGTCTTCACAAACTAAAAAAATAATTAATTCAGTGAGTCCACCATCTTGTAGGTATTCTTTTGATAAATATGCAATCTTCAATATGGTAAAAAACCTTAATGTTTTGAAGAAGCCTTAGAAAGTAAAGAAAAATAATACTGATTGGATACAATATAAGATGAGGTGAATTCTTTGCATGATAATCACCCTTATGATTTAGTAATTGTTTAAAGACAAAAGAGCATTAGAGAACAGATGGATTTTCGAAGTGAAGTATAAGACTAATTTTACATCTCCAAGATACAAAGCAAGATTAGTGGTGAAAAACTTAAGACAAAGAAAATGTGTTGATTTCAATGAGATTTTCTCACATGTGGTAAAAATATCATTCATTATAACTGAGTTAAGTTTAGTTGTTATCCTTAATTTGAAGGTTGAGAATCTGGATGTGAAGACAATTTTTCTTCATGGTAATTTGGAGAAAGAAGTTTACATGAAACAACATGACGGTTTTTTTTTTATTGAAGGCAAGGAAGATTATATTTGTAGGCTGAGAAAGAATCTATATCATTTGAAATAGGCTCCAAAATAGGGGTACAAGAAGTTTTGGTCTTTTATGGGTGCTCAAGATTAAAAAAGAACTATTTTTTATCATTGTGTCTTTATTAGAAAGTTCTCTAATGATGACTTTATTATTCTGTTATTATATATTGATTGACATACTTATGTTGAAAAAAATATTTTTAGAATTGACAGGGTAAAGAAGAAATTGAGTGAGTCATTTGCCATGAAAGATATGGAAACTGCAAAAAGATTGGAATATTGTGAAGTGGATTTTGAGATATTTCATGGTAGTAATGATTTGATACTTCTTTTTGGAGGTGATAAACCTACTTTGATAAGTTAATCAAACTTAGATATGGTTGGAGACATTGATTGCAAAAAGTCCATATCAAATTATTTGATTAAGTTTGCAAGGAGAGGGGGAGTTATGGCTTGGCATTCAAGAGTGCAAAGGTACGTAACATTATCTACTAGATAGATAAAGGTCATTAACATTTTAGAAGCATACAAGGAGTTGATATGGTTGAAGAAATTCTTACAAGAACTTAGTTTTGTGCAAAATAATTTGTGGACAATCAAAGTGTTATTCATCTTGGTAAAAATCTAACTCTCCATTCTAGATCCAAACATATTGATGTGAGGTATCATTGGATACGTGACGTTTTGGATGTTGAGTGGTTAGAATTGGATAAAGTTCGTACAAATGACAATGGTGTTGATACGATGATTAAGGCACTACCAAGGCAAGAGTTTAAAATTTGTAATGAGATTGTCGGATTGGTGGTCTTCTCCACATAGTTGTAAAGGGGAAGTGTGTTGGGTTAGACTCCCAATTATGTGTCTATAGTCCAAAAAGTTAAACATATTTTATCTCACTAAACCTAAATGGAGAGGAGTATTCTAAGTTAAGAGAGAGGGTGTAATTTTTTGTCACCTTTGAAGGAGAAAAAGAAGAGAAAATTGTTTGACATATTTACTGAGCTGTCTCAGTAAAATTACGATTGTTACTTCATTTATCGTTGAATTAGACTAAAGTTTTGACAACAGGTTTGGGAAGTATGATTCTTCATTTTGACCCTTGGGATTGTCAATTGGAGATCTGTGGTTGGAGAAATAAGTCTCACACTTTTGATGTATTTTAGATTTATTTTTCATTGTTCTTCAAATTTGAGAACATTATTGAATTGATATATTGGTTACTTTGAGAACATTATTGCATTGATATATTAGCTACTTTGAAAACATTATTACATTGATATATTGGCTACTTGGAGACACTTGTTTGTATATTTGATTTGACTCTCTTGTACCCATATTTGATCTTAGTAGAGTTTGATTGATTGACTTGTGCTTGTACATTTTTATCGTTCATATTGAAGGGGTTTTTCCATGTTAAAAATATTGGTATTCTATTTTGTGATTATTTTTCTCTTTTCTTATTATTGTTCCTTCTCATAGATTCTTAAAATTTTGGAAAATTTATTTTCGTTGCATACTTTGATATTTTTGGATGTTGTTTTATTGCTTTCCCCTATCAAATCCATTAAATATAGATGGGTGTTTAAAATTATGAAACCCTTACAAGGTAACAATGAGACACATTAAGTCATACATGTTGTCAAAGTATTCATTCAATGAGAAGGAACATATTCCAAGGAGACATTTTTTCCTATATCTAGAAATGAATCTTTAGGGGTAATCATTACATTAGTAACTCATTTTGATTTTAAGTTACATAAAATGGATGTGAAAATAGTTTTTTTTAATGGTGATCTAGAAGAAGAGGTTTACATGAAATAACCTGTAGGATTCTTCTATAGTGATGATAAGCACTTAATTTGTAAACTTAATAAATATATTTATGGATTAAAACAAGTTTCATGCAAATGGTATTTAAAATTTCAATAAGTTATTTCTTCATTTGGTTTTGAAGAAAATAGCATGGATCAATCAATGTATATACCAAAAAGTCAGTGGGAGTAATATTTCCTTTCTTGTTTTATATGTGGATGACATTTTGCTTATAACTAATGACAATGGAATGTTACATGAGGTGAAACACTTTCTCTCAAAGAACTTTGATATGAAATATATGAGTGAAGTATTTTATGTCATAGGAATTAAGATCCATAAAAAAAGTTCTTGAGGTATTTTGAGTTTATTTCAAAAGACCTATATCAACAAGGTTTTAAAGGGGTTTAACATGAAAAATTATTCACTGAGTATAACTTCATCAAGCACCCAATTTCGTCTGGATAGATATAAAATAATAAATAGATAATAACTTATTTGAAAAAAAGGAGAAAAAAATATTAAAATATAAAAAAGGGAAAAAAGATAAAAAAATGTTTTCTTTTAAGGACTTTAAATTAAAACAAATATATATATATATATATAATATAAATTTTAAAAAATGAAAAAATAATAATTAAGTTGTAGCTTTTTAGGGAAAAATTTAAGAGGCAAAATTTTGGGTCCAACCCATTTTTTTACCCTAGGTCTCAAAATCTTAACCTAATTTTTTGGCTTTAAAATGGGGGAACACATTTTATTCCGGGAAGGTCACACGCGGACACTCTCCCTCCACCCAAACGGCCACACATTTCACCCTCCACATAGCACCAGCCTTGCCCGATCTCCAGGACCCACTGACCTCATCTCCAGTACCCATAAACCTATCGATCCCTTTTCTTCAGCACCTCCATCTCCACATCTCCCTGCCTGCATTTCCCTTCCCTACTCGTAACCAACTCCCGAACCCGAATCTAGTTTTCGTAGACCTTGTCTTATCTTTATGGTTTTTCCATAATTTTCCTAAAAAAACTATGGTGACGACTACAAAACTCTGATATGATTTTCTTTAAAATCTTAAACATTTTTTTTATTCGTCGTCCCGTCACATTTCGGTGGCGATAGATGGCGACTCCAGTAAGGATATTTTGAGAGAGTCAAGCCTAATTATTTGAGTGTGTGAGATGTATGTCATTTTTAAAATGTTTGTTTTCCACTCTCTCTTTTTTTTTACATTGTTTGCTCCTGATGTTTTGTTAGTGTTACTAATAAAATTATTGAACTATTGAACCCTAGGGTAGATGACATGTGTTGTATCTGCCTGGGATTTTTCTAGTTGTTTTACGGGTGAGGGTTGGATATGCATTTTTCCTCCCTTCATACACACACACACACATTTATGCATTCCATATTGAGCGTCGCCCTATACTTGGGTCTGAGCAAGGTCAGAATTAGAGGGGTTGTGTAGTAATGTCGCTTGGAATGTACTTTCTGGCTGGTCATTGTGAGAACCCCAACTAGAGTCTGTTCGCTTCATTGGTACTCTCACCTCTGGTCATTTACCGACTGTTGTGGGAAATGTCGTGAAGTGAGTTATAGTTCTAGTGACCTTCTACCATTAAGATTAGGATGTCGACCTTGTGAGTATGCATAAAAGTTGCCCTAGATCTTTAAATATTACTCTGAACCATGATTAAGGCACAAAGGGAGAATTATGCATCCTTGTACCCTCACTTCTATTTTTACACAATAAATGTACCATATGCATTATCTTTTTCATCCTAATGCATCTTTTCCATTTTTTCCACGCAATTGTTTGATAGATGTCAGTTTTGGTTCACTTTCATGATTGTTCTAGGACTCTTGTCTTGTTAGCTTTTGTTATATGTCAGACTTTTATACCCTTATATGAAGGACAATGGTTTGTTTAACAAGTTTATTCTACATCACACTGGGTTTTGAATTATGCATTTATCAATGAGCGCAATGGCTTTCTTCATAGAACATGCAAGGATACTTGGTTTTAGCTCGAATAAAGTCCTAAAGAGGAGTCACAAACTTTAAAAAATAAATAAAAAAATAAAAAAATTATGACAAATGAACAAAAAAGCAAAATTGTATGTTGAGTTAATTATTTTTTTAAAATAGTCATCAAATTCATGACGTTTTTAAATAATTTTCCAAAATAATTTTCAAAAAAATGATGAAAAGTTAAAAAAAGAAATAAAAAAAAAAGAGAATAATGGGGAGGAAAGTCATGCACTTTCTTCGATCCAATGCCTTGATAAAAGACGACAAGTCAACATTTTCCTTTAAAGTAATCAGAAGCATGGTGCTTAAAATCCGTTCAACCCATCCATCCCTCCTTAAAATAAATAGATTTGCTCCAGTAAAGTTCATCATTACCCAGAGTAAAGTGACCTCATTTTGAAGCAACTCCATTAGGTTTATCTTGTTTGTAAAAATAAAAATAGAAAGAAAGTCCGTTAGACTAAAAACCAGCAAGGACGGTGTAGGAAAAAGCAGGATAAAGAAAATAAAGGCAATTCATGTCGGAAGTCATTGAATTTTGTTATAGGATCAATCTTTGCGAAAATAAGACAATCATGATTTAAAGTGATATGTGGCCATGTTTCTTTATCCCAAAAAATATATAAACAGTATCCCTTGCTGCCCCTTTTGAGCCAAAAAATATATTTTTCTGTCAAATTACCCTTAAACAAGGATTTCTCTTATCAAAAGTCAGCTTATTGTTACATCAAGTGCATTTAACAATTGATATTCAACAAAAAGAGGGGACGAAAAGAAAAAAAAAACAAAAGGAAAGAAAAAGAAATCATCATTCAAGAAATAGGATGAATCGATAATCTGTAAGTATCTTAAAGAGAAAAATCAGAAAAGAAAAAGAAAACAAAATGTTGGACAAATCAAACCTGGGTGTTAAACGCTACATAACTTGGGTTGACAATCCTTGTTTCAAATAACCTGCAAATACAATTTTGAACCTTAATACCCTTTTCTTTCATAGCCATTAACCTATAGTCACGTTACAAGCCAAATAAAAAGTTCACATTGATTAAGGATTGATTATTTGGTTTTTGCAACGCTTGATTCTATGATAATATTTCTTGACAAACGACATGACTACTAAAAAAAAGGGGCATACAATAAAAGAAAAAGAAAAAAAAGCAAAATTCTTGACCTGTGTTAAACAGTTGATAAGCTAGGTGAAGGGGCAATCTTGTCGCTTTCATTGTGTCAACATCAAAATGAGGGGCAGTTTACCCATCGCACCGTCCTTCTGGGGGCAATCTTCTTCATTTCTATCACCCAACCATCAAATGGAGCAATCCTTCTATTATTTTACCATTACCTTGGGACCAATTCTTCCAATCTTTGTCACTTCAACCATCAAAATAGGGGCAATCATGTCTATCTCTTTCATACCACTGCTATAATGGGGGGCAACACACACTTTTTCCTAACCTTTTGTTATTCAGCTTCCCTGCAACTCGAAACTAAGGCAACATTGTCTATTTATGTAACTCCACCCTTGTGCAGTTTTTTCGTTTAAGGAATGTCAAAAGGGGAACCTTCCTATAAAGCCTGACATCATCGCCAACTTCCTTTAAGCCTGTCAACTTAGTCAAACAAGTCATATCTCCAAACGACCAGTCAAGCAAACATCTGATTCTTCAATATTTCAAAAGAAAATGTTGATTTTGCCATACTTCAGTCATTGCATTGGGCTTTAGTATTTGCAATGTCCCCCCCCCCCCCCACTTGCATTCTCTAAAGAGAATAAAATGACAACTTTTCATGGATTTGATATTTATGAAGGGAATAATCAATTCAAAATGCTTGCATTCGTAAAAAGTAAAAAAAAAAAAAAGATAAAAGAGAAAGGAAAGAGAAAACAAATAAACAAAGTGTTACAACTTTCCTATCAGTAACATGCATCCATCAACCCATACAATCACAGTGGCATCAACCACATGCATCACGCATCCTTAACTACATCAACAACATGCATCCATACATCTACATTGGCTTTTACATCATCCATGCGTTCATACATACATTAAATCTTATCAACGCATTCTCACATTTTGCATTGGCACCTCCATGCATCCGTACATTCAAATCAGCGCATGCATTCATGCCTCTCCACTTGCTTGACATATACGTTCATTCACGCATCCTCATCTCTCATATCAGCATTGTCATCTAAGTCAGTCGAACTGGCACCCACAATAAGCCCAGTATTTGCCTGACACCTGCATCTAAGTCCAGTCTACCTGGCATCTGCATTAAAAAGTCCAGTTTTCCCTAGCAACATCAAACATCCATAGTTCGGATTGATGATCAGTCCCTTCCACAGGTGATCTATATATCCATTTTCAAGCAGTTCACATTGACGATCAGTTCCTTCCACAGGCAATCTATACATCCATTTTTAAATAGTTCGGATTGACGATCAGTCCCTTCCACGGGCGATCTATACATTCATTTTCAAATAGTTTGGATTGACGATCAGTCCCTTCCACGGGCGATCTATAATCCTTTTTCAAATAGATCGAATTGAACGGTCAGTCCCTTCCACGACGATCTATACATCCTTTTTCAAGCAGTTCGGATTGACGATCAATCCCTTCCACGGGCGATCTGTACATCCATTTTCAAGCAGTTCAGATTGATGACCAGTCCCTTCCACGAGCGATCTATATATCCATTTTCAACCAGTTCATATTGATGATCAGTCCCTTCCACGGGTAATCTATACATCCATTTTCGAATGGTTCAGATTGATGATCAGTCCCTTCCACGGGAGATCTATACATTCATTTTCAAATAGTTCGGATTGACAGTCAGTCTCTTCCACGAGCGATCTATACATCCATTTTCAAATAGTTCAGATTAATTATCAGTCCCTACCACGGGCGATCTATACATCCATTTTCAAGAAGTTCGGATTGACAATTAGTCTCTTCCATAGGCAATCTATACATCCATTTTCAAATAGTTCGGATTGATGATCAATCCCTTTCACGGGAAATCTATAAATCCATTTTCAAATAGTTCGGATTGATGATCAGTCCCTAGCACGGGCAATCTATACATCCATTTTCAAGCAGTTCAGATTGATGATCAATCCCTACCACGGACGATCTATACATCATTTTTCAAACAGTTCGGATTGAAGGTCAGTCCCTACGACGGACGATCTATACATCCTTTTTCAAGTAGTTCGGATTGACGATCAGTCCCTTCTACGGGCGATCTATACATCCCTTTCCAGTTTTACATTTCGAATTGATGGTCAGTCCCTTCCACGGAGGATCTATATATCCTTTTAAATTTCTTGTCGTATTTCGAATTGATGGTTTGTCTCATCCACGAGCAACCTATACGTCCTCTTTCTGTCGTAATTCTGGAAACCCGAACGAAATTATTGCTTCTATCTTTACTTATCTTTTACTATGATTATACAAAAATTCTAAATTTTCATATTATCTAGTAAAAACTAAGTAAAGAGAGGCAATTGTCAACACCCAATTTCGTCCAAATAAATATAAAATAATAAATAAATAACAACTTATTTAAAAAAAATATTAAAATGTTAAAAAGGGAAAAAAGATAAAAAAATGTTTTCTTTTAAGGACTTTAAATTAAAAAAAGAAAAAAATATATAAATAAATAAAAAATAAATAATAAATATAATATAATTTTTAAAAAGTGAAAAAAAAATTATTAAGTAGTAGCTTTTTACGGAAAAATTTAAGAGGCAAAATTTTGGGCCTAACCCATTTTTTTACCCTAGATTTCAAAATCTTAACCTAATTTTTTGGCTTTAAAATGGGGGAACACATTTTATTTTGGGGAGGTCACGCGCGGTACTCTCCCTCCACCCAAAGACGGCCACACATTTCACCCTC